GTTATGAGATTTGTAAGCTATGATTTTTTGTAAAAATTGTCTGTTTTTATACCTTTTTGCAGGGTTTTTTTATTGTAGTCAAAAACTTTGAATTCATCAACAAACGTGGTATGCAGATTTGTTAATGCTTTAAAAACTCGCACAAAACATCTTTCCGAATCAAAATTAATGCTATTTTGGCTTAATTATGATGGTTGGAAAAGATTGATTTTTCAATGAAATTGTCTGTTTTTATACCTTTTTTGCAGAATATAATTTCAGTCAGACGATTGAAACGCAGTGAAGGAATCATTTGCGACCCTATAAATCATATATATTCTTGATCAGAATGAACAGGAGAATCTTATTTGGCATGTCTAAAAGAAAAATAACATTTTCCGAACTTTGTTAAAATTTGAAATTTTCATAAGGGGTTACATCATGATTTTTTCAAAAATCGACAAAAATTGAATTTTAAAAATTTAAAAACTGAGTATGCAGATTTGTTAATCTAGTAAAAACTAGCATAGAGCAGCATTCCAAATAAAATTAATGAGTTTTTGGCTTAGTTATGAGATTTGTAAGCTATGATTTTTTGTAAAATTGTCTGTTTTTATACCTTTTTGCAGGGTTTTTTTATTGTAGTCAAAAACTTTGAATTCATCAACAAACGTGGTATGCAGATTTGTTAGTGCTTTAAAAACTCGCACAGAACATCTTTCCGAATCAAAATTAATGCTATTTTGGCTTAATTATGATGGTTGGAAAATATTGATTTTTCAATGAAATTGTCTGTTTTTATACCTTTTTTGCAGAATATAATTTCAGTCAGACGATTGAAACGCAGTGAAGGAATCATTTGCGACCCTATAAATTCTTGATCAGAATGAACAGGAGAATCTTATTTGGCATTTCTAAAAAAAAAACCATTTTCCGAATTTTGTTAAAATTTTTAAATTTGATAAGAGGTTACATCGTTCTTTTTTGTGTATGCATACTATTATGTTTCTAGCTACTATTATTTTTCTGATTAAAATTATAATACCCTGCAAAGGTATAAATTACTTAAAAATGGTAAAGAGTTAAAATTCCTGTGATTAAATATTTTATTTATTTTATATATATATTATATATGATCTTTCATGGTTCCAGATTTTCCTTAAGTCCGCTCCTGATTTGTTTAGCATAACTCCATGCCACTGGCCTCCGAACGGAGCAGAGGAAGCGCAAAAAATCTCATAATTGCAAAGCAGTTTGCCGCAGGTGCGCCACCCGCCCTGGATGTGGATGTGTACGTAGGATGTGGATACTCCAGAGATGAGGGGATGAGGTGATGGGGATGAGGATGTACCTGGGACCCTGGACAGAGGACGCCAGATGAGCAGCTCTGATAAAGCAGCGAACTGAACGTAAGTAGGTGTGTTGTTTCTGTTGCCGTTGCCTTGATGTTTCAAGATGCACAAAGAGAAAAGTTGTAAATTCTTATATTTCGAATTTAATTTAAAGAAAATTTATGATGTAATATGTCTGATATTAAATGGAAATAAATGTAACAAATTTTAAAACTCACAAAAGACATGAGAAGCAAGTTCTTTAAGATGTTACTTCAGAGAGATATTGTATTGTTGCGATTCAACAATTAAAGGGGAATCTTTTTATTTTACTTCATGTTGCCATAAACCTTTTCTGCAAAATTTTCCAGTTTTGTTCGGTTAATACTTAAATTTTGATTGATTTTTACTCATAAGGTATTTCTTTCTGTGCTTAACTTGCAACATCCGATGGCAGCAACTTGGTCTCGTTCTCGTATTTAATGCATTTGATCCTTGATGCTGTTGAAAATGAACTGAGCCCGAACATGCAATCAAGTTGAGTTGCCTGCCCTCCATCCTCCAGCACCCAGCGATCTCCTCCTGGTTGGAACTTAGGAACCAATCGGGGCAATTTCATGAATGAAAACTCCGTCCGTCTCGTTTGGGGAGTTTGCATGTTTCGGCTCTCGATACACACGCACACCCACTCATGATGCGGATTTCTGATGGGGATTTTCTGAACTAGCAACATTTTGCCAAAGCCAAAGTCGAAGCCAGTCTGGAGCTTGGGAGCTATAGAGTTTGTGGAGCTGTGGAGCTGCAGCTGCAGCGCATTAACCTCGAATCGAAAACTCCTTCTGCTGCCTGCCTGCCTGCCTGAGACGGGCAAGCAAAATATTTACCAAAGTGATTAAGATGCCTGAGTAATTTTTAACACAATTACGCTGCCAAACAGACGACGCTGGAGTTGGACTTGGAGTTGGAGACGGAGACGGAGCTGGTGCCGGAGTTGGAGTTGGAGTTGGGGTCTGCTGCGTTGTGCTACCTCACTTACACCGCAACGCCACGATTGCCAGGTTGCTGCTGCTGCTGCTGCTGTGTTGCAGCTGCAATGCTGCTAATGACCAGGCACAGGCTGCAATATAAACTGTGGCATTGTCTGACTGTCTCCCCGAGAGTCTCCCCTTATTTTCGAACACCCAGCGACTTGTGTGTCTGTGCCATTAGCACTGCCACACTAGGCTGGCTTTAATCGTAGCGAGGCGGCTCCAAGCACACACACAAAACAGGCCCAACTAAGGCTCAAGTTTGGACCAAAACCAAAACCAAAACCAAGGCGGGTGTTCACGCATCACTGTTTTTTCACAGCCTTCTTTTTATTTTGTATTTTTTGTATATTTTTGCTCAAACACTCTATCTTCATAGCTGTGATTTATCGAATTTATGAAGTTTTGGCAGGTGTTGAGCCCATGTTGCCGCATCCCGTGGCATAAAATGATGTTGCCCCATTCAACGCACGACAACCTGCACACACAAAAAAAATGCAGAGTCGTGACGCATTTGGTTTAGTTTTCGGGGGCTTCGTGTGGCACGACTTTATGCTTCTTTCTGGCCCGAAGAGTTAAGTTAGCCATTGAGGCTTTGGCCATGTGCACCTAGGCAGCGATGCACAAATGCACAAAGAGCCAGGCCATTTGTACAAAAATATTTGTCAACGCCGAGCACTGAGCAAAACAAATTGACAAGGGAATTACAAATTTAACAGGTTTTGTATTTTTCTGGTTTCATTAAGTTTAAATTGGAAGAATTTTGGGTATTTGAGTATTAGTTCATACATCTCTATAACGTTGTAAGCTTGAATACATAAAGATTGGTTATACAATAAATATTTTTACAGCTCACGAACTGAATTTAAAACCTTGGTTTTATAATCAATATATTATATAGTTACTATTTCATAGAGATGCAGAGGTTCTTACTTACATATTTAGGCAGTCAACCGATATTAAATTCCTCATTAATAAACTTCCTGTTTAAAACAAAAGATCACTATAATAATAACACCTTTGTAAAACCCTTTTATCACAGATTAAGGCTTAATTTTAGCCAGTTATCAAAAACGGATACATTAACTTAATGCTTTAAAACTAGTGATTCCCTAAGACGCTCTAGGGACTGCTATTAAGTAATATTGGACCACAAATTACTCGACTTTTTGCCGACAGTGCAAAGTGGAAAACTCGTCTTTGGATCCCTGCTTAGCGTACCAGGGGTAAAAGGCCACAAAAGCTCGACTCAACGCCAACTTCAACTCCAACTCCTGGCTAAGAGGCTAATTTCCTCATAGCCAACTCTCCCCTTTCGGTGGCTCAATGAAAATGAAAATGAGCTCGGCACGCGTTGCCATGGCGCACGACTGGAAAATTGCAGAAGCCGCTTGGCTGCACTTGCGAAAAAGGGGAAGCTTTTGGGTCGGGTCGGAGTTGGAGTTGGAGTTGGAGTTGCAGGAGGGTACCCTTCTTTGCCACTTTCCAGTGGTGTCCCGGCCACGTGTTGCGCATGCGCTCGCCCCTCGAGCTCTGGGTTCCAAGTCGAGCTCTCTGGACATGAGCACGACGCCCTCAGCGTTTGTTTGTCAGGGTCGACTGCGTTGCAAGTTGCAACTCGAAACTGCCGCATCGTGCAGCGGCAGTTGCAATTGTTCTTTGCCTCAGCGAGTGGCGGTGGCGGTGGCGATGGCGTGAGGCAGGCACAAAACAGCAACACTAGCCGCAAGTACACAGGGAAAAATATATACCAGAAATTGTTGAAAGACTATAAGAAATCCATAGGTTGTAGATCTTGAAATAAGCAAAGAGTTACTTGAAAATGAACTTTGTATCAAACAAATAAAGGATTCTTTTCAATAAGTTTTCTTGAGCAGTATCTTTATAAAGTTTAGTATATAAAACATATATATTTTCTTAAGATTTAACAAATTTATACCTCTTTCTTCCTGAGTGCATCAACTGAAGCAACACCAACCACACTGGCAACACCTTCACTCTCTTTGGCTGCGATATCGCGATGATGTATGGTCATGCTTGCCCCTCGTGCCACCAGCCCCTCTGGTTCCTCTTCGTGGAGCCTCCATTGGCGGATTGTAGGCGTCAACTCACGTTTATGCTTTGTAGACATTATCGCGCCTGTTTATCTTTAAATTGCAAGTAAATTACTTTCGGCTCGCACAGCGGATGATAAATTGTCTGGGCCGCGTTGAAGGCTCTGACGGATGCAATGAGCCCAAATCAGTGGGTTTTCCCAAAGGGGGTGAGGGGGGAAAATGGGAAAGTATCTATGGCTAGCACCTTCAATTATTCGCTGGTTAAATTCACAGATTCTCACCCGCTTGTGCGAAGATTTCGTGAGCCAGCTTAGCGGCTAATAAATTCCAAATTGCATTATGGCTAATAGAAGGGGGATGACTAACCGAATCGGTAAGGTAATATCGGAAATAGTGAAAATTGCAGATCACCACAGGCTTTTTAAATTGAGAAAAATATAAGAGAACAAAGAGAAAACTAAATTTGTATTTAAGGGAATTTGTTCTCCTCGTTTTTATTCGAGTTTCTTAGTTTTTTTCGTTAACTAAACTTAACTTCTTTATAAATAAACAACAATAAACAAACGATTGGCTAATCGGCAATGGATTTTATGGGGGAATCTCTCTCAATAATGGGTCTCGGTGATCCTGACCTTACCATACTTGCCATGGAGGGCATGTTTGGCAAAGGACAAGAGGTTCGAATGACTGTGGACATCCAGGTGAGCTGGCACCACCGTCTTGTGGTGCACAATGGCGGCATGGGTGTCATGATGATGGTGGTGCACCACGGGAGCAGTGTGATAACGAGCATAGTGATAGTGATGTGGCAGCTCCTCATGATGGTACACAGTCGTGGGCAGCGATTCCAGATGATGATCGAAATGGTGATCCAAATGGTGATCATCATGATGCACAATGGCAGCACTATGTCCCAGATGAATGCCATCCGAATGATGGATCTCGGCATCCACCAAATGAGGCAGATCCGCATGGTGATAGCCATGATGATGATCCACATGGGGCAGAAGGCCAGCCTGAGCCACGGCCACCAAGGCCAAAATGCACACGAAGAACTGTTGAACATTAAGGAAATTGTTGTAAAAGTTTCTTAATATAAAGTTCAAAAGACATACCTTCATTCTGAGAGATTCCTGGCTTAATTTGAGGGTGTTATCCAATTGCTGGGCTCTACGGTTTAGCCTGCTGAACTGCTGTCTCTTGACTGTGGCTAAACCTCAACGAACTCTATCATTTTATAGGAGCCTCCCAAAGACAATTCAAACGAAATCGAAACTGAAAACCATTGCGTAGCACGTGATAAGAATTAATTAGCTACGAGTATAGGTCTCCCCTCATTATGTAAGGGGAGTGAGGCGCAGTCAACAAACCCTAAGTAGGCGCCTATCCGATCGATGTCATAATTTTATGGCCCACAGCAATGGTTAATGAATACTCCCACAACTTGGCCATTTGGCAACAGTCAACCCAGCAGGTAGTGAAAGCAAAAATCCCACTGACCAACATTTACCTGTAACTGCGATCAGACCTGGGGACGTGAGCAGTCCAAATATTTGGCAAACATCTCTGACGGCCAGAGGTGCGAAAATGTGATCGACGCAAATCGCGGTGTGTGGGTGCTGTGGGTGCTGTTGGTGCCGCTGGCAAACAGAGAAGGTGCCAAAAATACCTGGAACCAGCTTTGTTGAAGGATCAACAATCAATTGGTCGCTAATTGAATATATCACTCCCACAAGATGCCAATTAGAGACGGTTTTCTTCGTAGCCCACAGTCCCATTCAAGGTGGTGCGAAATTCTAAAATAAACACAACTAACTAGCTAGGCTGTCTGGCTAAGCTCATTAAAATCTGTTGCTGAATAAATTATACATTAATTGAATAGCAAATTGAGCTCTTAGGAAGAGGTGGCAGTTAAGCATATAGGGGCATAACGATACATTATAGAAATCGTTTCAGTTGAGTAATTTTATAACTTGACTTGTAATTAAAAATTAGCCAATAAATCTTCAGGGAATTAGTCAGATGAAGGGTACTTAATAAATCTAAGTAAATGGAAAATTAAATTTATTAAATTTAATACATGTTCTTATAGTTTATTACCTTAAACGGAAACCCCTTGCTCTCAAAAATGGAGTTTGTATTTCCACACACAAAACCCCTCCTCCTCTGCCATATATTTCACTCCCAGTTTATGGATTTGCCAATTCGAGTTTGCTGAGTTTCCCAATCCCAGGCCAAGTCCCTGGACTGCCCGACTTCCTGTCAACGACGTGCCGGTGAAAAACACGTTCCAATAAGTCAGCCTCGAGAAACATGAATAAATCAGACTGATAAGAGGCAGCACCACCGAAACCACCTGCTGGGATGTGGGTCAGCCTGCAGCTAATTACATAATAATTTGGTCAATCAAACGCTGCCGTTAATGAGCCGCACTGTATGCAGGTGACACATAGAGCAACTCCATCGAACTTGGAAAACGAGCCGGCTGAACCCACGTGCTACGTGCGAGCAACTTGAAATGCCAGACAGGTGTCGTTCCTCGAAAAAATAGAAACAAAAATAAATAAATAAAAAACAGAGTACATGGCAGAGCGAATTTGTTTTTGGGGTTCAAAAGCGCGATTGCAATTTGTACACAACTGACAAATGGTCTAAATAAAAGTTAAACGTTCTAACACTCGCAAATATATCAATTCGGGAGGGTATAAATCTTGAGAAGAAATAAGATTTAGAAAGAAAGAAAAGTATCTTTGGGATGCCGAAGGTTATGCACTCTATCAGTTTTCAAATGATTTATAGGATCTTATCGAAAATGGGTTAAAAATTGTCGTATTCTTTGAATACTTTATCGACATTTTCATATGACAATTTTTATTGAGAAGTAAGAGTTTAAAATACTCATAATTTAATCAAATGCTGAAATGCTGATGAAGAATATATATGATTTATATGATCTGATTAAAAAAACAATACCTTAGAATCGTATGGAAATAAATTTAAGTAAAGTTGAGAAAATAACAAATTAGGACGAATGTCAGTACACCAATCCTTTGAGGCTTTCAATCCATATTTATTGATTTTATTTTCATCAAAATTCAAGACATGAAAGTTATATAATTATTGTAATAAAGAACACCGAATGATGAAACCTGAAAAGAATCTTGCATTAGATAATTCCAAATAATTTTCACTTGACTAGATAATCATTTTGCAAGTATATATAACCCATGGGGAGGCAATCAAAGGGGGAGGCATAACAAAAGCAGAGCAGAGCCGCAGTGAAATTAAAAATGAAAATAAAAATAAATAAACTATAATTTATGCGACGTCACCGCACTGGTCGCTGTAATTGAGTGCATCGTTAGCCGGTTGATGGAGCGGAGAGACTGGGGAATGGGAGTGGGGCTGGGCCGGGAAATTCACGGGGGGATTGGGTTGGAAGGTGGTGGTGGTGGTCTGCATTAGCTGCCACTACCGATGCCAACAACTAATTTAATGCCAGCGGCAACAGCAGCAGCAGCAGCAACGGGCGACGGCAACATGTCAACAGCAACGCCTGACCAAGGATGAGTGGGAAGAGCTGCCAAACTGGTGGGAAAAGTGAAGAAATTCAGGGGGGAAATCACTGGGAAAATGGGGGTACTGTGGGGATGGACACTCTGCATACTTAATGTCTCTCTCTCCCCATTGTGGGCAGATATTTTATGAATATGCGGCCGAAATCATTTTTGCCACACATTCGCCTCGCCTCGAACCACAAATCAGCGGAATGAGAAATTTGATGGTAATTAATATTGTAAGCGAAATTAATGGCAATGCGACACTGCACAGCACTATATACTATACTGAGTGCTTTAGACAATTGGAACACTTCAGCTGGGTATGGCAATCATCAGTTTGTGGGATCGAGGGAAGAGATCAAAAGCGGTCCTCCATCATTCTGTGCATATTTTTCTGTCAGCTAAATGGGTTCATAAATAAATTGTAAGGCTAAATTCGAGTTAAATCAAAAGGGGAGGATATACAAGACAAATATAGAAAAGTAATAACAATTTAAAGGGATATATTATAACTTGACAAGGTAGACAACTTAAGAACATTTTATATAGTAATCAAAGAATTGATACTACATCTTTCCCATTATCATTACCTACAAGATACACCCCATTCCATATCCTTTCAGAATTAATTTCACAATCATCAATGGGGGAACAACAATATATGGGATAATCGCCTGATTGGCTTGCTACCTTGATTACCCTTTTTCCTGGGAATCTAAATCATAAAGAGTAGCTTGGTAGCTATTCGTAGCAACTCCCTCCGTTTCTTACTATATACATATTTTTGCAGGTGTTTCACGTGGCACTGTGCCAATTTGTAAGCGAATATTGTTTTCGCTTTGGTCCAGTGCACGATTTTTAATCATTACGAAGGCGATCTTCATATGAGTCTCTGAGTGCGCCTCTGTTCAATCTATATTTCTCTCGCTCTCTGCCCCCGATCGGCGATACAAATTGCTATATATGCTAGTTCAGTTCAATTCCCGCTCGATTATTGCATTTTCGCCAGGTAATGAAGTTCAACAAAAAGTTAATCGGAAAAGCGCAGGCCCCGCAACTAAATAGACAAATGATACGGAACGGAAGCTGCTCCAGACGGCGGTTTCTCTCCACCTTTTTTGTTTCCCCCTCATCTGATCAGCTATATATTTTTCTATACTCCTCCACTGGACACTCCATCGATGCACTGGGAGAAATATTGATGAGATAGAGTAAGGTACACTTAGGATTTTTGTAAAACTTCTCTTCCTTTGAACTATTGTATTTCATATTGCACAAAAGAAAGGGGTCAGAATTCCTCTACATTTTAAAGAGAAGTCATAATCCTAATGCTGAAATAATATATATAATAGTACATATAGCATAGGTTCATTTTGACTTTCCTTTTGTTAGGTTTTATATAAATTTATGGCAAAGTGGTAATTAAATGGTATTTTCTCCCTCTGCATTCCTTCTTCTGGCCAATTGTGCGGTGGGCTTTGCTTGGCACATTAGCGGCTATAAATTGTCTTAATGCCCGCACACAAATGCAGATCTTCAGAGTCTGAATAACAAAAAAATAAAAATCTGGAGTGCGCCGGGAGGAGCTGCAGCGATCGCAGGAACGAGGGGCAACACACAAACACCTTGAATGGCGGCAAAGATCAGACTCGAGATTCAGGCGAGAGTTGCGAACTTTAGCCAGGCAGCGAGATTGTCTCAGTCCCCAGTCCCCAGTCCCCAGTCCCAGTCTCCATTGCAGTCTGCACTCTGATTCAGATCTTCATACATGATCATATAACAAGAGGGCCAGGAGGATGAAGAAGATCGAAGAAGGGAATACCCTTGAAAAGTTTAGGAACATGAAGTTAAAAGATATAACTTACTTTCCCCAGAATTTGTCTTTATATTAACATCTGTTAACAAATTTCTAGTAGTTCTTTAAGAGTTTCTATAATATTCGAAATCAAAACCAATCTCTGATCTAGGGTATCATTAGTAGCAACCAAGATTCATGTGCTATGAAGAGGTGCCATGGTGTGCCTCTTGGAACTCCAAACTGAACCAAGTCAGAGTTGGCCTCTAGCTTATGCAACTCCTTGGCCTCACTTGCATGTCCAATCGCTGCGAGATTGTGAAAATTGTAACGCTCGATTGAGAGCTCAAAGTTGCTGCCGTAGATGCAGCAGTTGCTGCTGCTGCTGCTGCAGTTGCTGCTGCAGTTGCTGTTAATAATATTGCACAAAAGGCAACTTAGCTTAGCTTTTGCGAAAGTTCGTCAGCAGAACAATGGCCAGGCGCACTCAATTGAAGTGTTGTGCCTCGATTCCCCCAACTCTCCTTCTGCCCGATTCCTGGCCAAGAACTCTGGGCCATTGTCAGTTGATTTCATCTGAAATAGAAAGCATGCAATTTTCATGCCATGACCGTGGCGTCGATAGGCGGCAGCAATTGATCTGCCAGCGATCGCCAGCGATCGATTGAAGGAGTTATTACACGCGAACAATGCAGGATCGATGCTGCAAGGAGGAGGAGGAGCAGGATGAGGGATCATCGATGAGGATCAGAGCTATTGCTCTATT